GTATATATATATATATATATATATATATGCATACATAGACACATTTTTAAACTAACTTGGTCCACTTCAAGGTTTAAAAACATATTCCAGAAGTGTTTGATGATGCTCGGGTTGTCTATGTGGAGTTGACACTGTTGTGCAGTACACGGAGCAGAAGTTTAAGTTGAGTGAGAGACAGACAGGCGGGCGGGCGCACTCACCTCCACCTTGTGGTGCAATGTGACATCAGACATCATCTCTTCAAGCACACCACTCAGCTCAGTACTCACGCGTGTCCAAAGGCAGGTCGGCGTCCCTTCCGCATGTCCTCCGAGTCTGGTGGCTGCGCCTTTGGCCCAGTCATTGACTCATCTGGTCAGGCAGAAAAACAAAACAAAAGTGGAAAGTCACATACTGTAGTCCATAAAAAAAGTTGTTTCTTTTATTCTTTTTAATTTGAGTCATTATTCGTAAAGTGGCAGACTTTGACTTTCAACCCGTCCATTTTCAAACGTGCCAGCACTCGCAATGCATCTGTTTGAGCGATCCACTCGCGGCTCTCTCCCCACACCTAAAGTACAATGAGCAACCTCCTTTCGAAAAACAAATGAACAAAGTCACGGGTGCATTTGTGGGAATAGTTTTGAAACAAATCTGCCCCCCTGATGTGAAGCCATCACACTTCCACTGCTGACAGCAGCTTTGGTGTGGAAAACATACAGAATAGTATTCAAGTCAAACGCTGTTCGCGATTGCTTTCTGTTTGCTTTTTTTTTTTTTTGACAGCTGAGGTCTTTTTTGACAGCTGAGGTCTACTTGTCGGCGGCGTGCTCGTTCGCTGCCCCCTTTGCTGACGTTGTTTTTGACGATAACTTCCAGTGACTTAGGGAGTCACAACAAAATTAGAGGAGCAACGTGTCGTGATAACGCTCCCCAAACGTCTACAACAATACACTCACAGAGAAACGGCGAAGTCAGTTTATAATATTAAAATTACTCACTGAGAAGAGGGCTTGTGGACAGCGGAAAAAACTTGCTCATTGAACCAGATGTTGTACCGTTCTTGTGCTTGTACTCCTTCTTCTTCTTGGTGAATTGGATGTCTTTAGTTCATATCGCCCCATACTGTCCGGGAAACCACAAAGGCGTTTGGCAAGCAATCTGAATCTAATTTAGTCTTAGCCAAGCGTGGAAAAACACAAAACACTAAATTAGAGCAGCTAGCTTATGTTTTGTTTTGGTCACTGCTGCTGTTGCAGTTGATACTCATATTTTTGTTGTGATGCAGCATGTTTGATTGTTGTTGGTTGAAGTTTAATTTTGTTGCTTGTTTATTGTTTGGAGCCTTTTTAATTTAAATAAAATAAGTAAAAAGCCATTTCTTTGCTTGATAATTGTTGCTATTTGCAGTCAGTCGAGTGCAATATTTAGTTCACCAAGTCATTTATCAAAATGTATGCTAAATTTGTCATAAATAATTCAAAGAAATGCTAAAAGTTAAAAGAGCCGTTTGAGAACCAAAAAGAGCCGCCTTTTCACTGAGCCGATCCAAATGAACCGGATCACCGAAAAGAGCCGAAAATCCCATCACTACTTCGAGGCTGGAACATGCATGTCGACATCTGGAACCAAGTAGGCAACCAAAAAAAGCTTTATTGTGTGAATTTATATTATTATTCAAGGGTACGTTTTATATGAAAAGCAGGATATAAAGTGACAATAATTACTGTCTGAGGTGTTGCTGTAGTCTCTAATAAACACTAAATTAAAAAAACAATCCTGACAAATGTACAGCCTTTATAAAGTATATTACTTCTATCACAAAATCCAACAACAGCAGTGCTTTTCCAAATGCCCTTTTATCACAAATAACAGAGATAATGGAGATGTTTCCGTTCTTATGATTCCTCCCAGAAATACATGACTTGTAGCTCACGTTGAATTGAAGCATAAATACATGTGCAGTGACCAACTCACCTTGATTACGCAGCCTACAGTAAGAGAAGTATAGTGACATTGCAAGGGGGGTGACAAGACATTCAGAGAGTATTAGCTGAATCATTGCTGCTGTCCTAAGCGGCTGTAGACATCTTGCTCTATAGTTTGTTGTGACTTCCAGAGACAACTGGTCGCCATAACTACACTACGCATTGTGTGCGCGTTTGCACCAAGCAGGCACTGATGCAGATATTTGGCTGAGGATGTGTTGATTGCACCACACGGAACGAAATGATGCATGTACAGTATAATACAACACTCGATAAGGTTGTAAAGAAACATTTGGCATGCTTTGCGGGACAGTCGTCCTTTTCAAATGTGCATGAAGAAACGCCCGTTGATCCAGTGCGTCATTTTCATTTTACATGACAGTGTTTTGCTTATAAAGCAGGCTACACAGTGCTCGGGCTCATCCCTGCCCCTTGTGTGTCTCATCGTAAATATACACTACTCACAAAAATTTGGCATAGTGGGCTTTCCGATCAAATTTCAGGATGGATCAACCTAAAATGGACAATCACCTTCACAGGTGAACTTTGAATGGCTCAGTACTCTTCTGCACAATTTGCTGTTCACTAACGAGGAACTGAATAGCAGAATTGGGTGTTGGGACCATGAAACGACCAATTTCCTGTTTCACTGAGAGCGGGTATTTAAACAATCCTTGTGATCATGCTGTTCGCATTTGGACATCGCCGAACAATTGATCAACTGTGTCTTGCCATTATTGTGAGGCTTCAAAGAAGATGCTCTCACAGGGAAGCGGCCACTGTGCTTTGAATGTCTGCGTCATCAACTGGCTGTAACAGAGATCAAGAGCGACTGGAAGACTCACTGAAAGGTAAAGAAATGGACAACACTAGGTGGAAAAAAATTGCTGTTGTCAATTTGGTCTATGTTAGAGAATAGCACGTTATGCAAAAAAACAAAAACATTGAAGTGGGAAATTTTAGAGGTCAAATTGAGTTCACACTGTGACACCAACCCCACGTTACCCGTTAGAAACTGACATCCACCCAAAAGGGTTTGCAATTGACTAAAGATGCCACAAGGCCGCAAATGGCCTCACTAAACGAAGTTCCTCCACTCATTTCAACATAGTTGCTTGGCACGGAAAAAGTACTGAGATATTAGATATGAGTATGGTCTGAGCCTAAAAACAGTGAATCGGTTTGTTTCAGCAAATAAGTTGTGTTTTTGGACGAACACCAAGCCCTGAATATGAAAGGGTTCACCGTAGTTCATTTTAGGTACGGTAAGCCGAGTATCCGTAACATTTTGTGAGTAGTGCACGTGTGTGTGTATGCATTCATGTGCGTGTGCCACGGCTTCAAACTGTCCTGTCAGCCCCAGAACGCTTGCGCACAACCTTTTCTTCTTTCACCTGGTCCACTGCCAGAGTCTCCAGCTCTGCCTGGGGCGGGGCCAAGGGAAGGGTCCCATGGGGGATGCGGTGTGCCACCCCCACGTGAGCCCTGTACTGGCGGTCCCGAGCCGGGCTGTGACGGGGGCTGGCCGTAGCCCCCGAGGGAGTGGCGGGCGGGCGTTCCGAGGCGATAGGTGGAATGACGGCCGGTCGTTCTCGTACCACCTGCAGATCCGGAGACTCTCTCCCTGCCTGCAGGAAGGGCGTCGGGTCGGGCATAGCGTCCACGGCCTCTCGCAGGACCACCCGCTTGCCGTCCGCGCCGAGCCGGTACACCTCGGTCAGCTCGGGGTGAAGCGGCTGAGAGAGGCTCTTCCTCATACGGCGGCGCGGGGTTTCGGGTTGCCTGTCTTTGGCCGGAGGGGGCGTGGGCTTGAACGAGGTGACCGGGCTGACGTTGGGGCTCGCCTCCGAGGAGCTGCCCGCCAGAAGTTTCTTCTTGGTGGCGTGAAGCTGCGACGTGAGGTAAGCGATGGTGCTGGCTCGCTGCTCCAACTCTCCGGACAGAACGGCCAGCTTGTGGCTCTTCATTTTCAGCTCCTCCAGGTACTTCTTCTCCCGCTCCTTGATGGTGTTTTCCAGCACGAAGATCATGGCGTTCTTCTGCTCCAGGTCCCTGAGCAGCTCTGTGTTCTCCTCCTCCTTCTTCTTCAGTTCTGCCTCTAGCTCCTCGCACCTCCTTTGCAGCTCTCGGCATCGCACCTCGCCGCTGTCTGCACGAGGCACAACAACCACTTATGACAAGGACGCAAACAAGACAATAGTGACATTTTTGGTCCGTTTTGGTCAAAGGCGAAACACATCGCTGACGTCGGGCGGAATCCTCGTACCTACAAAATCGTCACTTTTCAGGGGATCCCCAAAACGGCATGTTTGTTCAACCATTGACATTGTAGTATCAAAGAGAGCAAACCATTTTCAACTCTTAAATTGGTCAGTAATCTGTAAAAAATAACTGTCGCATGTACCAATAGAATAGATCTAAGAAAAAAAAATTACCAAAATGTGACATCGGAGGTTCTGGACTAACGTCAGCGATATCCAGGGTAATCTAGTCCACCGTCTACATCAGCTGGAAGCAAAGTCAGGGCCATTCTAGCTCACCAAACATTGACAGCAGCACCAGTCCAGTAATGAATGTTTTGACATATTTAAAGTGCTGAGGACTTTTGTCGCTAAAAAAAAGCGCAATAAGAGTGGAAGCATTACATGTGTCATGTTTCTTGCTAAAATCTGGACCAAAATGACAATTGGTCTTTACTTTTAAGAACCCTGAGATGTTGCTAGCATTTCTTTTGTTGCCACCCCCTTTTAAAATAGATTGAACATTCGTGAAAAGGACGGTTTTCATTGACTTCTAATTTCAATAATTAGTCCATCAATTTGTTGTGCGGCTAATAATATGATGAGGTCCTTGAACATTTATATGGTTACTGTTCGAACAGCCTTCTGAGGGAATCCATAATTACAATGTGGCCAATGACAAAAATTAGTTTAAAACTCACGGCTGATCTTTCTGTCTTCTCAAAAAATTTCAATAACAGCGGCGCCTTTACGTTTCATGTGTTCCACGAGCAACTCAAAACACTGGTATCTCAAATCAACTTTCCCCAATTGAAATGAATGAAAATGCCATTAATTCGTTGCAGCCCAGTACATTTTCGTGTTTCAATGGCGTGGCAAGAACTCCTGTATGCAGCTGTGAGGGGAGGACTAACGATGGCGTGCCTAACCGCACGCGCATGCTTTACGGGATTATACTGCGTAATCACTTGCATGTTGCACTTCCTTGGCAGCCATACTGAGGGCTAATTCACAGCAAAATTAGACCGGGAACTCCCTGCTCCTGTCTCACATGACACAAAGAACCTCGCCCTCTGACCTTTGATGCTTTTCAACATGGCTGCGCACCCGACATGCTGCCCCGCATCAAGTCCCACTTCAGTATATAAAATTCAAATAATTAAATGAGATAGAATTATGATTACATTTATTCCAGATTTTGAAGGTGAAAATTGTACATTGAGGTGAAATGATGACATGTTTAGTAAATATTATGCAGTAGCCGTGTTATGTTTTCAGGCGTCGTGACGCTGAGCAAGCCATGCATCAGTGCTGTGACACATAATCTCATTTCCTGCACTCCGATCTCTGATGGCCCACATTGACATGATAGCGCCTCGGGTGAGGGTAAGACCTCTCATGTGTGAGCCTCTTTTGATACGCGACAAATCCGGGATGGCCGATATTAGAAAGGCAACAACATGCTGCATTAGGCTGGAGACAAATAAAGATATAGCTTAAAAGAACGAGAGCTGCATTTGGCCTGCCTCGAGCTTCCCTGGCTGTTAGGCAACTGTCCTATTAGCCAGTATCAACGCTCAAGTCGCATGATGTCACGGCCATAGCAACGTGGGGGTTGGGCACCTGGCAATGAGCAGACATTACGAATCAACAATGAGGAGTCCAACGATGCAATGATTTAGAGCTCTGCAGTCTTTTAATCCCACGTTGTAATGATCAAGGTTGAATACAGATGTAGAAATGGAGGAGCACGCTTGGTAACGGGAGCTTACCTGAAGGATCGGAGCTTCGCACAGTGAGCTCATATGTCAGGTCTGTGAAAAATACAAGAGGGTGATCATCAGACGGCTCACAGTCACATTTCAACCAGCAGCGGCTGTCATGATTACACAAGTCACTCTCTTGACTTTTTCCACGTTCTTAAACGAATATCGCCACTCAGGTCGCACAAAAGGTTACCTCTGGGTCAGTTTTAATCAAAAGGTGTTAAGCAAAGAGAGTGATGGGTACATATTTGAAGAAAGAGGTCCCAGTGGGTCTAGTATTTGCCCTTGTGTCCATCTGTAGATGCGCCACATGCACCCTTGAGTGTCGCCTTGGTGACAGAGCAGAGCCGGAGAGTCACCTGTGCATTGCTGCTGCAATCGTCGGACCTCCGCATGCAGCCCCTTCAGTGTGTTGGCGTGGTCCTGCTGGAGGAACAGCAGGTTTTTCTGTGCGCTGTGCAGTTGATTCTCCAGCGTGACGTTGGCCGATGCCATGGCTGATGACATTCACACACCCAGACACACACGCACAAAGAAAAAAAGGGGTGGAAAAATAAGTTATGTCAACAGGGATCATTTTAAGCGTTCACAGCCTTCTGCCTTTGTTAATATCTGACTGATCCCTCACAATCCACCAGCGATGGAAGCAATAATTGAAAACGAGACAACCTAGCTGACTATAAGACAGTCACATGGAAAAAAAAGCTAGTATGGCGGTAAATGAGTGTGCCTTCTTGTGCTGCATGTGCTCACTGCTTTAAACAACAAAGCTGATGAGGGAAAAGTGGTTAGGATTGCACAACTGTCCATGTTTTATGTTCTGTGTTGTGGTTATTATTTTACTTTATGTTAACTGTTTTGTTCAGCACTTCGTTACAGCTGCAGCTGTTGTGAAAGCACTATATAAATCAGGATGTTTATAATTGTATTGTATTGCATGGTGTCATTATGACATCACTGTGCAGACCAGTTCAGTGCAAGGAGTTTGTAACCTGGAAAGGTCAAATGTCTTCCAACAAATAAGACGGTTCACAACACCTCTTAGATCTCAGCTACAAACTCCCATAAGAGTCCCATAAAGAAAGTCACAGCTGGAGCCCACTGTGACACAAGATAAAAGCATTGACAATTTCATAGCCAGATGTTGGACTAGTCGAGACAATATATCGTAATGCTGATTCAGCGCTGTTAAATCGGACAGCGTGCCGATTTTCACATCTCCTCCTGTGAAGTTAAAAAGCAGGCAGCCTTGTACCCATGAAGTTGATTTGTATATGCGTGTCATAATTCAATGTAATCATCCATCCATCCACATGGTCGCAGAGCCCATACAAACAGCCATTCACATTCACATTCACACCTATTGACAATTTGGAGTCCTTAATTAAACATGTACGTTTTTGGAACGTGGGAGGTGATTTGAACCCAAGGACTCTCTACCATGATCTAACAAGCTTTTCCAAGACATGCATACATCTGATACGTTGCTTCCCACACAGCCTTGCACTCTCCGACAATGTCACTAGACTATAAATAATGTAGAGCCCTTGCCTCGACAGACACCTTTGACTGTACGGCTTAAAGAGGGAAGCATTGGGAGAACCTTCAAAACACAGACAGCAAAAAAATAAAGCATTTGCATTGGTGAGCCATCAAGGCTGCATAGATGATCCATTATTGATGAGTAATGTTGAGTCCTTCCAGTAAGGCATCGCTCTCATCCCAGCCCTTTCCTAGAATAGCTCGGATCGCCGCCCGTGTTTTTGCGAAGCCATGACCTCAGTCGGCACTAATAAGAGTCATCATGCCATCACATCAAGGTGACTCGAGATGGAGAACCGTGTAGGACAGGAAGCTTCTTGATTACCTGCACGTGCGTGATGTGGTTCGCTGTGTGGTACTAAAAGTAAAATATAGAGCAAAGTGCGACTTTACAACCCTGCTTCAGTGATTGCAATCTGAAAATAATATAGTGAAAGCATGCATTCAAGCAAAAGCAGTGGGAATCGCTCTGTTCGTAAACCTCCTTCTGTTGAATGTTCCAGATACATCATTAATAATCAATGAACTGCAGCAGCATGAAACATTAGCCACGAGCTAACATCCTCAGCATGGCACTCCCACACAGTCAGAGATGGTGCTCAGGAAGGACACAACATTAGATACTCCCATACGAGCAAACGAGATACATACTTTGATTTGCAACATCTGAGGAATTTCTACCCTTGTGATACCAAAACATTTGGAAAAGCTCTGTGCGATGCAGTGCATTTCCATTGCAAACGACAACCAACACACGTGATTCAGCTTGCTGGTGAGCTGATCACTTTAATCAGGTGTGTTGAAGTAGGGAGAGATCTAAAACAGGCAGGATATGGCTCTCGATGAACCGGAGTTCCCTACTACTGATCTAAGCTGACAACAGGTCCTGCATAAGCAAATGTTTATTCATGTTTTTAAATTTGCGTCATAAAAAAGAACATATTCAAGTAACGTTAAGATATCTGAAAAATCTACTTCAGCTCGTTCCTAACGCCCCACTGACAGGGAAAATATTTAATTCATTTTTGATCATGATATGTTTGTGCAAGTGTACCAAATGGTTATTTATGCGTGTGCGCGCGCGTGCGTGCGTTGGCATGTGGGGATGCTGCGTACTTCGCAGTGCACTTCCACTTTCAGCACCTGCATTGCGGACAGCACCCTACGCCACACAAAATGACGTTGCAGCCTGGCGGCACACAGCAGCCGGGCCACGCCATGCGTACTCCTGCCTAGGTCCAAAGCGACCACACGAGCATCTTTATCGGTACCAATTCAAAAAATACTCAAAGTTGCAGGAGAGTGGTAAACAAAAGGCCGTGCCGAGCGGCACAGCTTAACCTACATTTGCAACAGATCGCTTCCTGTTTGTTTATCAGGACACCAGCGCCGCCTACAAATGAAGCAGCCCTTAAACATTGTCTCCATTCAAAAGGGTAAAAAGATATGTCCTAATCACGTGTACGACGACTAGCCATTACTGAAAAGGAAACGGGTGCAAGGTGGTTGTGTATTATGGACGATTTGTGGCGACGAGCCCCACATGGACTTTTGGACACATACCACTATCGTTTCTTCACTGATGAAGGGCATTTCTAAAACGTTAAAAAAAAAGCCTTTCACATTGAACACATCAAAGTTGGGAACCTGTTTAGAACAATAACAATGCTGACAATAATACGTTCGCACGTACAGGGTTCATTTCAACACAACACGAAGGCGATAACGCCTTCTTTGAATGAAACAAGGCGTCCATCGAATGGGAAGCTCCCGTGTGACGCTTTGTGAGGATGTTAGCTTAGCCGGCTGGCTAACGACATGATAATAGAACACACCCCTCGTCTCCCATACATATGACGTCGTGTGGTTGCTTACCTTGCGGCTAAAACGAACCCCGGCCGTGGACTATTTGACCAAAGACGGGTAAATCGTGGTGAAACAAGACAAGCCACAGTGGCTTAAGTACGTTGCACCTCGCCGAGCATGTCGCTGATGCTGCCGAAAAGCGAGAGCGGAGAACGGCTGCGTACGTCTGGTAGTCTGGATCAGGTTCCTATCATCTCCCTAAGCGACAGCACTAAATAAAGCGATGCATCATGGGAAACCGCGAGAGACCATCTCAGGTTAAGGTATTTGAGGTCACTTTGCGATGATCTTATTGACCAAAATCAACAACACTTTAATTAGATAGCCCACATAAGTGTAGTCAGCTAAAGTGACAATTATTTCACTTGATATTGTGAGGGCTTCCGATTTGCTCTGGTTAGCGTCATTGCCATAACAACACTGTCACATGTTCAAAAGTGATGATAGCACGCCACCTAGTGGCAGTATTGGGTTTTGTAAGTAAAATCAGTGGTCGGAGTTGCCCTGACGTTTACTTAATTATGAAATGTATGTTTTAATGTCAAGCTTACGTTTCTTTATTTGCCAAATATATGATATTCCATACATAGCGCAGCATATGTAATGAAACTGTACATTTTAAAATACTCTTTGAAATGACATAAAATGGTCAATGTCTCATTAGTGTACAGTATACAGTAGTGTATAACAAATTAGAGCAATCTGATTTCCAGCCGTCCGGTGCGGAATTTGCATGGGGGTAACCCGGCTTCCTGCGACATTCCAGAAACATGTATGTTCGGTTCATTAAAGTCTCTAAAACAGTGGTCTCAAACTCAATTTATTCCAGTAAGCACTTGAGATTACTCCGGGTGTGTATGGGCCACACCATCTATTCCACAAAATAAGGATTAAATTATTCACAAAAGCAAAACTAATCTAATTTTTATCAATAACATCTCAAAACTTTATCGGTTCTTTCGAACATGAACGATAGGTGACCCGGACCTCTTTTTCATCTCTTTGCCAGGCTACTCTGCAAACTCCTCAGCAAGACAACTGTCATTGAGAAATGACGTCAGATTTCTTGAGCGCTCCAACTTCCCTCTGTGCATGAAGACATGTTCCTGTTTGAGAAATTATATGCTCTCGTCGCCAAACTTTCTCTTCATGGCAGGGTTGGAAAAACGATTTGATTGATCGCCGGCCAATTGCAGGTCGCATACAATATTATAGAGAATGACAACTAGTCACAATCATATTCACACCTTTGGACATTAGAGTCGACAAACATCATAGTATGCATAAAAAATGTGTGCGAAAATATAATTGCAATTTGTGTGAGACTGAAGAACTGTACAGCTGTGTATAGTACTACTAATTATATATCCTGTATTTCTTACCTCTAATGGGAATGAAAACAAAAGATGACTTGTAAAAGACAAGAAAGTATTGTTTATTGCTTCATGCAATGTTCATCAAGAAAGCATACTGTATCTACCTCACTCAAATCAAGCAGCTTACTTCCAAAGGCACAGTATTTGGCTTCGTCTTTGATTACTAAATAGAACGTATATACTGTACTGTTTATATTTAGAACATTGTCATGTCGGTCAAGTGTACAGTTTGCAGCCAATTTGTTCACCTAAATTGCAATCATGGGGCTTTCTAATGGGAGCCACGGGGGTAACCAGACACAGTTAGGGGGATGTTGGCCTCCCATTGCCTCCCCCGCGAGAACCGTTAGTGGTAGGACTCGAGCCCAGAGGATCAAATGCTGCAAATAAACAAAGGCTGCCGTTTATACGTCTCACGTCGGGTTTTTAGTGCCTCTGAGATTTCCAGTGGTGTCGGGGCTGGTCTACTCATCCTTCAGTTCATGGCTCCAAATAAAACAGAAGAGGTCTGCCAAACAAAACCAAGTGCAGAATTATTTTCTACCGTGCGTGTCCAGACAAAATACAAGGAAAAACCGTAACCCTGAAGTTTTTGCAGATTGGGGAAATTCCCATCAACGCATCGTCAAGGTTCAGTTTAATCTTGTAGGGGTCAGCGTGAAGGTCTTCTACCAACAGGACAGCTACTCCACAGCTTCATACTCCACAGCCTGTTTGAGCTGTGAACATTTTTTAAAATTGCCTTGTCTTTCTTCAACTATCGTGATACCATCTTGTGTTCTCACACGAGCCCAAAATCACAGGTTCTGTGTCCACAACAGGGACGTGGGGACTGAGGTGGTCAAGTGCTTAGGGCCTCACGGAGGGATCCATGCTTAACTATCCTCTTTCAAAAGAAGGCTGAAGATGACCACGAAACAACACCCTGGCCCAGCTGCTTGAATGGAAACTCAACACCAGCTGTGCTCCATGAGAGTCACCCGCACAGGAAAGCCATGGATTACTCACCTCTTCTTCCTCAGCCATCCTCAGTGAGGCCGCTGACATCCTTGACTGCCAGTTGACACCAAAGACGAAGAATCTGCATTGTCTAAGAAACAAATGCACTTTTAACGTCAACTCTCCCAACTATTTTGGATATCACAGAAGTACCTCAAGCGTGAGATGCGACTGTCTCCTGATGATTCCTGCAGTGCATATTGTGCTGTTTAGTGGCAAATGGGATTGAGTTTCTTTTCAGGAAATTCTTTCCATGCTGTATTTTCATTGAGGCAAGGGCACAGCTTTGCCTTGAAATTCTATGACAAGTCCCCCCGGGTGCGCAAAGAAAAGAGCCTTTAACTGCCACTCACTCCAGCGTATTACCATGAGTGACACCTTGCCAGAATGACTTCATGCTTCCATTAATCAAAAACAAGTTGTAAAGCAGCATTCTCACATATTTCCCACATACTTTTAATACTCTACACTGCGCACATGTATGTGCCTTGTGCCGTGCTCTGCCGAATGCGATGTGAAAATTGAACTTGGATTACAATGCTGCATCAAATTGGTGCAGCTGTCACAAAAACAAGACCTACCACGAAGCACGTGGCTAACTGCACGGGACATCAAGTTTGACTCCACAAAAGGTACGATTCTGTGTGCGCCATCCAGCAAGTGACCGTGGTGTGCAATGAAAAAAAATAAGAGCTGTCAAGGTTGACTCGCACTGACTCATTCACGCAAACTTGACAGATGAAAAAGTTGGAATTGGAGGTTGTGTAAACACGCTTGCTGTCTGCTTGTTGACCCCGCTTCAACTGCTGAGAGGGCAGCTGCTGACCTGACGGGGTGCAATGAAAAGGGCCAGAAACAACAGCCACAAACCATCATCTGCCCACAAAATAGCTAGCAAGGTCTAACTGGGAGTTGTCCAGAAATAATTGTGTGGTCGAACGATGCTGCATGGACAAAAGTATTGGGTCACCATAACAAAATATGGACAAATATGGATGGTCAGTAATGTTGCACAGGAGGGTCTGGACCACAATCCTTATTCAAGTTCAGCACAAAAACACTTTGATGGGATTGAGGTCAGGGCTTTCAAGTTCTTCCACATCAAATGCACCCAAGCACGTTTTTCCAGACTTTGCTCTGTACACTGCGGCACAGTCATGCAGGAACAGAAAAAGGCCTTCTCCAAAGATGAATTCATCCTCATGAATTGATGATGACCTGAGTCCCAGGACAAAAAAAAAAACAGCAGCGGCTCATCTGTGAAGACTTGCACTTTGAAATGGGAGCAACACAGTTCATGGCCTGCTGCGGACCAAAAAAAAGCAAACTAGTTGGAGAGCTGCTTTCTGACTACTACTTAGGTGCCCTTGAGCTAGGCAGCGACACTCCCAGTCAGCACTGTTTGTGTCCCGCTTCTCACTGTCATCTCTCCTTGCATGCCCACGTGTGTTTCGATTCGCTGCGTGGTGTGCAGAGGAGAGTGGAAATTATACTTTATTGTATTATATCAACAATAATCCTATAAGGATAAAGTCAATTATGTTTTTTTTTGTGGTAAACTACTGCAGATTTTCTATCATTGTTTTCGTTGCCATATCGAAATGTGTTTTGGCATGACATTTGGGATCATTTCATTTCACAATACCAGAAGTGTCATTTGTGGTGAAGGTTTGATTCTGCTCATCCAGTTTGTGAATGTCATTTGAAAAGTGCAAATCCAGACACATCAAGAAACGCGCAGTTGGAATGCAGCAAAAGGAGCAATGGGGCTTGTGCACATTCCTCCAAGCCACATCTTCTCCTGGCAGCTCGTGCCCGATAGCTCTCCCAGCACCGTGGGCTCATGTCTTGGGTTTCTCTAAATATTTTCTAATGCCACTGAAGAATGTTCTGATGTTGTTGAAATAGCAGAGCTCTTATTTTTTTCTTTCACAGGATACTTGATGAAGAGGCTTCGGGACTGGCCTATCGTTCTTCTCCTAAACCGGTATGCAGTATTCCCCTCTGAGAATTCACCATTCAGCTTACACAAGCACACACATGCCCGAGTTAAATACAATACGTGCGGGATTGGATAGCAAGCATTAAAGTCATAAATGTCATGATTTATTTCTTTCGCTGACAGAAATATTTGCTACTGCGTGAGCTTGAATGAGTACATTTGGCTAAAAATAAAGCTGCAGTGTCAGAGTTTCTTTGGCCCAGTTGGTTTTCTTGCCATTGGACAGAGTAGGTCAACGGAGCCTCTGTGTCTGCACTCCAACCATCATATATTCCGCTATTTTTCATGCATAAATAAACAGAAGCCACTTTGTCTGGCCTCACGATGGCCCCACATTAAGGGTAGTACACCAGGGGTGATTCTAGGATCAGGGGTGTAGGGGTGGTGAGCACCCACCCAGACCCGATACGGTTCACGGTTTCATACACTTCAACGCAAATGTACCCATCCTACACTACCTGATGCAGTACTCTTACCATACTAAACATCGAGCCTCATTACATGTGCATTGGGTATCCTTGACACTGCTGTAGGAATACATTAGCCTCACTACTACCTTTGTAATTACAGACTACATTCATTCAAGTACGTTTGAATGTCTTTTATGGGGGTGAGCATGGAGTATTTGATCACTATGTATACCAAGAGTGTATCTGAGTTTGACTTGAGATAATTAACCAAAGAATCAACAGTGACACCACAATTATTTGCAATCGTCAACCAGTATTGTGCTACCCCCACCCAAAAAAAGTGAATATGCATGTGATTTCATTTATTTGAACAAATCAAAATATGCATATTTGTTTAATTTTTTTTCAACTTTTGACAACCTTTGAATCATTTTAATAAAGTCCCCCGGTTATACTTCTGTAACATACTCGCTGGGTCTGAGGAGTGAAGACAATGACACATACCATATTCTGCCTAATTTCTATGCTTTCAAGTCCCCTTCTACAGTACATACTGCATGTTGGGGTCTTCTTGAAACACATCATC